GGAAACTCACTCATCTATGAAAACTCCTTTGATGGCTTCAAAATATTCACATCACATCTGAACAGCATAGGTGGTTTCACGGTTCCACCCGTTTTAAGGTTCCTCTTACTGTCCACTTTCATAATGTTGAGGTAGCACTCTACGGGCACTTTCCCTCCGGATCCCCCTCTGACCTGCTCTCCTCTGCTGAATGGAGCTCATGTCAGAGTGTATTTGGTAAATCTCGGACGTTTACGGCATTTAGATGGCTTAGTGAAAAACATCTTCACACTCCACCTGTCACTTTTGTACGAATAAAATGTTTGGGGTGCCTGGAATCACAGCCAAATTGCTTTGGAAAAAAACATTCAAAAGAAGCAGAGTTGACTTAGTGTGTTTCTTTCTCGAGAATCAGAGAGCCCTTATGTGTGAGACTTGTTCTAAATGTTTAGTGAATATTTTTTAGTCTCTAATATTAATAACAAGTTGTTTATTATTTTATTTTTTATTAAAAAATCTATATAATTAAACTGATCCTGGTTCCCTTACCTATGCTATGTGCCTGTATGGTTGGTATGAGTTACTTTTCTAATTCAGGATCACTGTAAAACATGAAAAATCTCACTGGTTCTCCACAGCTCCACAATGTTCCCTGCTGCTCCTGCTGGTTGCAAATTTAGCTGTGATTATGACAAGACATAAAACCTAATTAAGCTCCAAACTTGCATCCCTGTGGTTCATCTTCCATTTTATCTTCAACATACAGAAGTACAACATATTGAGGTCTTTTGTTTTGCCATAGTTGCTCAATTCTAATTACTCTCAGTAACTCTGTTTTCTGTTTCGTGTTTCTCCATGTTCTATATCTTCCTTCCCTTTAGGTATCTTTAGGATGAAAGTTTGCGGTTTCTTTTGAAAGATCAGTTTAGTAAAGAGAGAAACTGTTCCATGACTACTACAATAAAACCTAAGGCTTGTTTTTCAGCTTTCTATTTGCTTCAGTCTTTAACCTTCCACTCTATATTTTTTCACTCCACCTCTGTCTTCTATCTCGCCTTTTCTCTCAGTCCATTTCATAAAACCTCTTTCAGCAAGCCTGCGTCACTCTTTATTACGATTTTCCATCGTGCTACCATTAGCTCCAGTTTTCCAGGTTTTCAGCTTTGTGAAAATTAGGGCTACCGAGCCACATCCATCTTCGTAAAGTTATTGCAACATGGTCTCCTTCCGTTTAAAAATTCAGCGTGTACCCGGCTGCCCCTCTGCCTCCACCTCACATATTCCTCTCACTGTTGACAGTTCCTATTATCTCCTAGATAATAAGTTGCACAGATTAGCCAAGGGGCCAGGCAGGGGAGCAGTGACGAGGCACTGAAATTGTGTGGCTGTGTGTATGTTTTTCTCTGAATTTGGGTGTTCCTGCTAGTTTCCGGAGTCCCTGTTTAACCGTGTGAGCAGCTTTTCATGTTTGCCTGTCTGTGTTTGTCTGTGTTAATGGATTCCTCCCCAGATGCACGTGCATCTCTGTCTCTCTAGCTATGTGTCAGTCTGAATGTGTGCGTGCATTTGGGGGAAACTTTGCCTGCAGTGGGACTCACTAAAGGAGTTGATGGGCTAAGTGCCATTAGCAGATAATTACAACTTAAAGTCCCCATGCTAACGAGGATGGCTCATCATCATACAACAGGCAGACTGAGAGGAAAAAAAAAAATCTGCAATTCAGATCAGCTATCCTTGTGTTTATAGTGTGTTTTTGTGTGTGTGTTTCACATGTATATTCTTCTTCAGATTCCATATCTACCCCTCTGTTTGGTGAGTGGCCGCACACATTACATTTTAAAGAATAAACCACGCTGTCTGTGTGTTTATATGATTGGGGGAAAATTCACAAATATGAACAGGGCCTCAGTTTAATTGGGTGGTGTATGGGCTCGGTGTGAGTTGAGTTTAAGGGCATCCCTGCCTCACACACCGTGATACTTCTAATGACTTCACTTTCCATTCCTTGCAACGGGCTCATCTTTTGCCTCAAAGTGATGATAAATGTCGGAAATATTTTATTATTGTTGTTGTGCGAATCGGTGGGACCAATAAACGAATATTTATCACCTTTTGGGACAGGTGTGGGTGTTAAGAGTCTGAGATTGTCCAAATCAAATTTTGGAATTTGCATGTTAACTTTAGTTTTGCAGTTCCCTACCTTACAAATAAGAGCTGATGAGGGTAGCACATCATTTTAACTCATTATCTTCTCCTCTCCCAGGTAGTCATCAGGGATACTTAATCTCCCTGTGTGTGTATACAGTGTTTGTGTGTTTATCTTCGAGAATTGTGTACTATGCTCATTTTGGTTTCGTGTGTATGAGCACAGCAGTGTGTACAATTGGGGCAGCTGAAATAACACAAAAAGGCACAAACACATCATCCACTTCAGTGAAGAGCAAATCACTCACTGTTTGTTGAACAGCCATCTGTTTCCTGTAAAACGGCTCTCAAGTTCATCTTAATCAGCACAATCGATTGAATAATGCTTTTTTATTGATACGAAGGTTTATGTTGTTTGATGGCCTATCAAAAAGATATAAAATCAATACCTTTTTTTTCTATTCTAACACTGATATGGCATATCTGGGCCAGCTCAGCATGACTGTTCCGCTGTCTTTTTCCTGCCCCTAGACCATTTGCCTTTGGTGATAAAGAACACAAACAGATTTACACATGTCATTATGCAGGAAATATATCTGAAAAAAAATAAAAAAAATATCCTTTCACCATAATCATCGATTTTCAACACCATTTTATGCAGTTGTCTGTTTTACTCAGAACACTGGAACAAGCTCTGAATCTGTGGTAGAAATGATAAGTCAGTTTCATCTCTTGTAGATTTGATTACAATTCTAGAGCTGTCTCTGTCCAGGTTTTATCAGCCGTGGAACAGGTGGTAGAGAGTGTTGTCCACTATTTGCAACAGGTTCAGTCACTGGCCACTCCTCGTGCCAAGGGGCTTTTGGGTAACGTAATGAGTATGAAAATGCTTCCAATGATGGAAAGATCAACATGCACTCCAATGTAATGGACTGTCGAGTGTGAATTAGAGGCAACTTAAATGCCTCAAAGATGGAAGATTTATTTAATGGAATTGCAGAACGTTTACTCTCCAACAAGCCAAAAAAACATCAATCATAAAGTATATTGTCAACACTAATTACTCAAATAAATACTAGCAGGTCTGAGTCATTAATAAGCTCAAAGAAATGCCTGATCAAAGCGAATGTTTTAAAAGGATGATATAGTATCGACTGATAGCAGATGTTAACTCAGACGTGGACCTTCGGGGGAATCAAGCTGTTACACAGTATAATAGTCAAGGTTATCTAATGATTGACATTCCTAATTGTTAATCATGTAAACTACCATAATTGGAAATAGAGAACTCAGTGCCTCTGAGAGGATGGGTTATTAAAGAAATAAGTCAGAGTGAGGTCGCTCATTGCTGATATGATGCACTGTTTATTATTTTTCCAGTCGTAGTCACCTGGTTTTGCAGACACATGGTACAAAAAGTAACCTTAATGAGACTGAGTAGAATATGATTTTTAGCGATTGAGCCTTTTTCAGTAACCGTTTGGCCAGAGGCAGTGTAAACCCTCGAAAGGTTGCCAGTCCATCACAGGTTTGTTAATCTATTGTGTTTTTTTTTCTACAGTTTTTTGATTACGAGATAATGAAAGATAGACAATGAAATTGATTAATGACCAACAATCTGTTGGTCCTTAGTTAATTTCTTTCATATATAAAGTTTATCTACACCACAACAGCAGATAAAAGCTCTCTCTTTTTATTTGTCTGCTGAAACTACATATTCCACATATCCTTTCTTGAAAAATGAGAGGAAGAAAATTCTAAGGAAATCACCAATCGAGAGCATCATAAATCCTGAGTCTTCACCTGTTGGTTCGGTCTTCATAATTACAGGTAACGTTATCCTTTTCTTACCTGAGCATCTTTAAATAACAGTCCATATTCTTCCTTAGCACAGCCTTTGTATTTTAATGTCTCAATTTTCTCTTCAGTCTCTTTGTTTCACACGGTCGCACCACCATCTGCTGGTAACTTATTTTTATTTCACCCTGAACAGTCTGGCAGTTATGGTCATTATTTGTGCAATGATATGTACAACACTGGCCTTGTTATGAGAGGCCCTTTGATTCATAATTTACACACATACGATGAAGCACATATATAGATTATTTCAGGATATAAATGAAATTACTTTTATACTTTACATTGATGTGGTCATAACTAATTGTATATGTAGTTATATATTATATTCAGTGATTTCAGGGTTAAACCAAACTTAGTTTTATGAGACTGAACACAACACATAGCACTGCTGTTGGAAACGTTTGGTCATTTATAAGTAGGGATAAAAAAAGTAAAGGATAAAAAATATTTATAAAATCAAGGCCCATTGTGCCATCTAGTGCCTGCAGGAGGACATATCCTACGCCCTTTTAAAGGGACATTACCAGCATATATGTTTACAGGTTTTATTATTGTCAAATGACATTAGTTAGTGAAGAAACTGAAGAAGACTGTTTTCATCAGCACCATATATTTCCACTATTTGTTTATCTTCTAAGAACACTTTACTTCTACAAAGCAAACACTCAAATGAATTTCTAGCAGAACAGTAATATCCCTAACACAAAAATATCACACCCAAAAGGACATTAAGAATATCTTTGTCATTCCAAATATAGTTTCAATATATAACTGGTTGAATGTGAATAATAATTGAAAAATATAAGTGGTGGGAAAGCCGTGGGCTGAGTTTTATTGTAGGCCAAGTGGAGGTCACATGGCATATTTTGTGCTGTGCACAAAGACCTTTAGCTATTCAGGGTGAAACTTCATTATTCACAAGTAAATCAACAAAGAAAAGAAAAATTCAACAAAACTGAGCATGAAAAGCACATTATTAGACTGAACAAATCAACTTAAATTAAAACACAACATGGTGTTGAGGAATAATCTTTAATCATGTTTAAACTTTGATTTATTTAGAAGTAGTTTTCTGTTTAGAAGATACAAGTTTGTTTCACACAGAATATCACAGAGAGGTACAGATTTTACATTTGACTCTGTCATATAGCTATAATCTCAGACTGGGGTTTAAAGAGGGGAGTCATTATTCTCATAGCTTGAGTCAGAGTTAGATGTTCACATTTTCCCTGCAAATGTCAAAAGTAGCATTAAGGGCACATGACAATTCACAGCCTCGCCGAGTCACGAACATACCACAAACATCCAATCAGTCAAAGTAAGTCAAATGATCACATCGTCAGGGAACACTTTGCAATCACCCAAATCCCCCTCGAGCAGTATCACTTGAATATTTGTCCATGCATACATATTTTTGATATAATAAAAAATATAGCATTTTGAATAAATACTTGATATCATTGTTAGACTGTCAGACAATACTTGTTATATACTTTTCACAATACTGTATGTACATGTATTTGGCCGGATTTACAGAAACATTTAAAATACAGAAATTTAACCCAATATGCAGCAGATTTGATCTCAGCTCTTTGGCGATCAACCAGATGCAAAATATCTGGGTCACACTGGATTAAATTTGTAGATGTTCATAATATTATGATGTATGTAGGCACGGAAGACCAGATAAACCAGATACATCTCTCAACATAGATCTGACCTTTCCTCTGCTCTCTGAAATATGGCAGGGTATATATATTGATCACATGTACAGATCTGACATGAAACTTTCCAAATATAGGTTATTCAAGAGAAAATCTGTGTTACAATGTGACAAATCCAATTGTAAAAAATGATGTGTTAATGCAGTCAGTGTTTGGTTGTATATTTAGCAGACACTTTTATCCAAAGCGCCTTATAACATACAATGTTACAGCTGAGGTAGGCTTAGGGTAGCATGTAGTGCCTAGCCTGGGGACCCTTACTGGACAATTGCCCTAGTCTTTTTTTTGCGCTGAATATTCATATTCAAGTCTGTGGGTATGACAGAGAACTGATTCAGAACCATTGATCGGATTCTGGAAAAACAAGTATAAAAAAGCAATGAAAAATAAATGAATCGTGATGGAACAGGTCATTAATATTTTATAAAACTTTATACGTAGGTATAATTGAGGCGTTCTGTTTTTCCTCACTTACCTTAAGTCTTACTCCAGCACAAATTGACTCATTTTGTCAGTACAAATACAGACTAGATTGTTGCTGATCACAGATATGGCAGTTGTAGATTTCAGTGGTGTTATCCCTTATGTTTGCTGACCTTAGCAATGAAACAGTAACCAATTCGAATATCAGATTTCATAGCTTTCATAGAAGTGACAACTGAACTGTTACTGCTCTCAGGCAGCGTCCAGAGGAGCTGGAGTCAACAAGCCATATCTTTTATTGTCTTCACCTTATTCCACTTTTTCATGTAAACATATTCAAATGATTGGCATTTGCTGTGGCTATGGAGGAATGTTGAATTGTAAACATTTTATCGGACCACTACTCATGTTTTACAGCGCTTAAAGACAGGTGCAGACAGAAGATCCTAAATTACTGGGATGCAATCATCATCTCCAGAGCAGTGGATATTTGTCGAATTAAGGCTAGACCAACGTCCCACGACCTACCCAGTGCCTAAACAACAAGGTAGTACTTCACTGATATTGCTTCCTTCTGCAAACAAAATAATCCCTCTCCTTTTAGATTTTCTTTTTGCAGTTGTGAGATTTAGATTGCTGGTGAAAACTAAATTGATTCTTTTTCCCCCAGGAATCTAAAGATATGGTGATAAAACCAGGAAATTATTCCAGAAACACGATATTACAATTTCCAGACTCACTGTACTGTCGCCACATCCACTGACAGCCTGAATGTTAGTACTTTGATTCATGCCAGTTTAGTTAAACTTGCTACATTGTTACTCCTGGAATGTGTCACAGCCAGCCTGACATTCATTGTGCATTTCATATCAGTTGCATACATGAATTGATTTGAAACAAGCAGGCAAACAAGGCATACATTATATCCGAACCCATGAACAAGAGAGAAGTCATGAAAACAGACAGTATTACAACATACTGCTGTGCAGTACTTTACATATGACAGTAGGGGGAGTAACTATATTGGCATGCAGCTTCCTTTGCGTGTTACAATCTTTTAAAGAGGACATTTCTATTTACTCTTCAGGTTGGTCATGTTTTTTCTTTTGTTATTAAAAAGTGATTCACCTTTTGTCCAACAGAAATATTCTATGTCTGGCTAAAACCATTAGTATTTCAGTTATTCACAAATTAAGATCACACATGACATGATCACTGGGATTCAATAAATGATGTCAGTCAACACCATTGAAGTCATATAGTCTCCTCTTCACAATTATATCATAGAAGTCTATTTACTGTACACAAACAAAATAAAAAGTGCCATAGAAAATACAGTCTCTGTTTAAATGATTATAACCTACAATCTAAATATCTATCTAGCAATCTATGCTCTCGATAAATGGCTTTTATGTCCAAATATGAAAAGAATGATGTCAGTATCATAAAGAAAATAGAAATTAATGTATTTTCAATAATATATATTTAAGGTAGACCATGTGCTTAGTATTTTCCTTAAAGTTTTAGTTGATGATAAGAAGCAGCAGTTCAGAGTATTGCCCACTACCAGATTTATATTCTCACCCTGTGTTTTGCTAAAAAAGCGATCAGTTATACTTGATGCCATGGCAATATATGATGACCACTTCATTCATTCCTCTTTGACTTTTTGAGCAGGTTGTGCAGCATATCTATAAACACCCAAATGCAGAAGAGTCCAAGTTTAGATGTAAATCCACGTCTGAGAAGTAAATTTTTCTGAGTGCCATGCACTTATTTCAGCTTCCCCCCTCATTTTTAGGAGAAAGAGTACAATGGAAATGGAAGAGCTGTGGTGTGGCAAACTGTCTCAGAGGAGGTCTGTAGTCAACGTGGGCTCAGATGCTTGGGCCTTCAGGAGGTCAACAATGTCTTGGTGAGAGGCTGCCTCTGCCACTGACAGAGCTGTCTGACCATTCTGTGGGAAAACAGACGAAAAGTAGATTTCAACACTGTGCAGTGTCATGAGCCATCCTGACAGTGGCAGTGTTGCGTTGGTTTAAAGTCAGTCTCGGTAAACAGAAAGTGCTAAATAAATGCTGCATCTGCGCTAATAATATCATGAGAAGGGCTGGGCTTGACATAAGTGTACAAGTTTTCTCCATACTGACATGTTCAATGCCAGTTAATATTTACTGAGAGTATTTACTTAATAGAAGAATGTGTACCTGATAATAAAAAATTGCCAAATGTATAGTGAATTCAGTCAGTACAAAAATGTGATTGTTACAACATTGGCTTGTTATCTGTATCAGTATTGCTGTATTATCATGTGGTCACCAAATAATTGGACAACATTTTTGATAAGCATTTTATGCTGATAGTTCTGCAAATCACAGAGATGAAATAGATTAAACTATATAGTCATAATCTATGCCCCCCTTTCCTATACTGCATCACAAGTTGGGGTGTGATGGGTGGAGCTTATCCCAGTTTCCACTTAGTGAGAAACGTGGATTGTTTCTACTCCATTAACAAGCCAGAATGTGAAATTGATATAGCTTTTAGCTGTTAGATTAATCAAGAGCGCAAGCTATTGTTGCTTTCTAACACTGAAGTTATACTCCAGCCCCATTTATAACAAATGAGAAGGCTATTTCTCTTCTGGTGTTCTTTTCTTTCTATCCCACAGCTGAGAGAACAAAACCTCTCCAAAAACTTGCACATCTGTATCTTCCCAGCATAAGAGTTGGTTGTGTGCTTGATACTGAGCCATAAATCAAACGTAATAGGGCTCTAAATGTCCCCAGCTGAAACCAGCTGGCAATGTTATGTACATGGCATGGTAGTCATTTCTTCAATCAAAGGTTTGATTTTAGATGAATGTTCCGTAATGAGACCTGACAGTGCTTCTCTTACAGAACAACAGTTCTCATTTCTGTGTTATTGTTCTGTAATGACTTATTGAAATAGCCTCTTACACAGCAATATCATTAGGTGGCATTTCCATTTCTTATATGCCCACAGTCTGAAATTGAAAAGCTGCCTTTAAAAACAGTAATCTGTCACTATCAAAATTGTTTTTTCTCCAACATTCCTCCAAATTGTATAACCGATGGATATTCTGACAAATGGATTAAATGGCTGCTTTGGCACCAATGAAAGGCCCTGATATTGAAACCCAAGAACAGCATTGTACATGTGCAAACAAATTATCAAACCTGAGAAACCTGTCCATACTTTATACATGCATACATTTTGGCCTTTGATTACATTTTTCTATCTTTTGGATCTGAAAGAAATAAAGAAAGAAAACGTTAGGCTCCTCGAGCCTCAGTATGACAGTGCAGGATTCCTTTGATGCTGCATGTGTTTCATTGTCTTAATTTTCCTAATTTGCTGAATTTGTGCTAATGTGCAAATCAGGCATGCCCGGGGAAACCTGCAGAGAAGTTGCCACTCTCTTGTCATTGCAGTTCCTTGCTAGAGTATATATATATATTTTTTTTTACATTACAAAACCAATTTCACATAATGTTTGTTGCTGCAATTACTAAACTTTTAAAGAAAACAAATTCAGAATGCATCTAATCTCTCCTGCCTTCTAATCCCTATCATAATTGTCTTGTAGACAGCACCAATTTCCACATTATCATGTGACAGTGCACCTTATCTGTGAGCCTGGTATCGCATTGACCAGTCTCCAGCAGCAGACTGGCGATGTGTGTGTGTCCGTGTTCGCAAGCGCACATCAGGGCTGTTGATCCCTCGCGGTCCTGGGCATTTACATCCGCACCGCAGCTCAGGAGCAGCTTCACCATGGCAACTCGGCCATGGCTCACTGCCAGCATGAGTGCTGTCTGGCCCGCCTGGAGGAAGAGTAAGTAAAGAAAATTAAAAAGAATTAGAGTTTAACACTAGATGATATTAAGGGAATTTGAAAGAATTGAATGAAGAGTGGTTTATTGTTATGGATGAAAAGGGGTTAGAAAGATGTGAAGAGGGAGTCTGGAAGAGATAAAGTGCTGCTTGGAAGTTTGTATATGCTTCAAAGTCCATAATTGATTTATTTATACTGCTTATTCCTAGTAGGGTCTTGGGGTGCTGGAGTCTATCCCAGCTGAAACAACAAATCTACAGATAGAGAAACTAATTAGATTAAGAAATTAAACTCCTTCACTTATAAAAAAAAAAATAGTTTCTGAATTGTCTGGAAAAAGAGTTATTTCAAGTAAAAAACATTGATATCATAAGTATGTTTTACAAAGTTTGTAAGTAACTGGAATTGGGAATTGGAAAAGCCCACGTTGGTCTAAGTATAAAATGCAAAGTCTATTACCTGTCTGGAGCGTGCATTAAGATCTCCTAGTTTCAGCAGCTGCTCGGCCACTTCCAGGTCATCAGGACTCTCAGCAGCCGTCAGGGCGGCCAGCATCACGGGAGTGTAACCTGCCTTATTAACATTGTCTGTTTCACAAAGACCTAGACACATACACACAGGGTGAATTAGAGACCAATCTGTCCCTGTATTTATGCCAATCTGTCCGAAATTTAGCTGTCACTGTAGCAGTGGGTGCATTTTGCAACTCACCTGTATCTAGAAGCAATCTGACAACAGGGAAGTTGGAGTGTGACACGCTGTAATGGAGAGCCATATTCCCATTGCCGTCTGTTAAGTTTACAACATATGGCAGGAGAGTGGGGGTGGTCAAGCCCACTTGTCGCAGGTATAATCTAACAGTATCTGCCTGTGAGTCTTTTTGACTGGACACTTTAAACCATTCCTGGTAGAGAACCACTAATACCTGACGCTGAGGAAAGATGAGGGAGAAAAAACAGATTGAAATGTATGTGCAACAACATTAAGGCGTTCACTCTTTGTGAGCCAGAAAAACAACACTATAAACCATATATTAAATAACTCTGAAAGAGCATACACAAAAGTAAAATACTTATACATGAAAATATTTTTTAATCTGATATTTAGGAGAGAATAGTGCATTACAGTCAAATTAGAACTAATTTGATTCATTTAGAAAATAGCAAAAATATCTTTACCATTTCTTTATCTGGAGATGAGACCTCTTCCATGCGGTCTTTTACATACAGACAAGCATCAATGAATCCTTTGTCAACTTTACCTCTGAAAATATAAACCACATGACACAGTCCAAATGAAGTTCTTCAATATTTGTGCATCAACCAGCAAACTCCACATCTGGTCTTTTTATACATTTTTTAAGAAAATTTCTCCACAGTTGAATGTGGAAATATCATCTATGGCACGACATGTGGTGGAGATAAATCTACTTGGGTTTTCAAGACCTTTTTAATGAAATAAAGAATGTTGTGAAAACCATGACAGCTCTCAGATGAGTCAGTGTTTGACACATTGGTAGCACATGCAAATCTAAATGGTAACAGTTTTGAATGTTTCACAGCTTAATATCCACACAGGGCATAAGCTGGTCATCTGTGATGAGCCCGAATGAAGCCGGAGTAGGTCACAATCTGTGCACTAATTGTCCTCCGGCCTTAACACATGCATGCAAAGTTGGAAATGGCCAAATAGCATCTGAACAAAGGTTTTGCCCTCTCAGGGAGAATCAACTGTCCCAATGGCCTTCAACTGTATATGCAAACCTGAAACATAAAAGATGTGATGGGGACGACGATTGTCATTTATCTATTTTTGTGCCATTTCATGGAATAAAGAACCATTGTTTATGACGTAGTAAAAAAAGGGAAAACATGATATGGAAGTAAAGCTATGCAGAGTATGAAGATGTTGACCAGGGATATGTGGAGGTGTAAGGAGGTTTTAACTAGGCCTTAACTACATTTGTGTCCACATATCACTGCCAGCGGAAGTGAGCACAATTTTTATCATATAATTTAATGCTGTCCTGGATACTGGTATTTATGTTAATCCTGAGCCAACCACAGATGAATGTTGTCACCTACAATGCCACATAAACTGCTCATGAATGGTTGAAATAATAGGCCCAAAGTACCAAACTATGAGTACCAAACTTTTATCCTCATACTGTATGCCCTCCCCAAAAATGTAGATGGCCCAAACTACGTACAGTGAATAGACGCTAAAAGATACTTACAGCAGTCATTAGATCTTTGCTCAACTTCTGCTATATTTGGCATGTGGTTTTCCAGCTGTGGCAAATCTATGTACAGTGAAGCTAATACTGTGGAGCTGCACACATTATGGTCCCCTTACTCACTATGATTAATTTAGTAGGCTGCATGTACAGGCTTCAAATCTAACTGGAAAATATTAACATTAATTATGACTAAATTGAAGTTTTTCTTCTTCAGTTGTTAGACAAAAACAATTTCAGACGATACAATGTTGATTTTTCATTTGTAAAGTAACCCAATCTGTGCAGATGGCATGATTTACAGTGACTTACTGTAAGGAGACTTATCTTTATATTCAGTTTAGACTTGACAAATGTACCAATGTATGTGTTTATTATAAACTTGATTGCGACGATTAATTGTATTTATACTGGTGACAGAATATTAATTTTAGAGAGACATTTTTGCAGAATCAGCTGGCAGAAATACAAAATGCTCTTCTGTGTCTCACCCCTCAGCCTGCTCATCCAGGAACTCCTGGCTCTCTTCTGGGTCCAGCAGACCTCTTTCTACCTCCTTTTCTGCAACTGCAGCACCTCCAACCTCAGCTGATGCCTCTGCATCTGTTGTCTGGCTTTGTTCCTCTGTTTTCTCAGGCTCCTTGTCCTTTTCCTTCTCCACCTCTGGTTCTGAACTGTCTTCCTCCTCCACCTCCACTTTCGACTTCTCATCTCCGCTGGACTCCTCACTGGAAGTCGTCTCATAGCTAGAGAATGATGCATACAGGGCAAAAAAGCACTCTTAGGAAAGTCGTTTCATGGCATTTTATGCCAGGTTAAGTATAAAAACCTAGAAACATTTTTTTTCTGTGATCTTTTTCGCACTACAGATGTAAATGTCCTAAATGTGTGAAGAGTTTATACCAAAGGTTACCTTTGCAGGTGAAAAGGAGGGCAGTCAAATCAGCAAAAGCTAAGTAAACAATAATAAGTACCCCGCCTCTAAAATTAAATGAATAAGATGCCTGTGTGGTGGTGCTTTGGCCAGGATGTCCAAAAACATCCCTGTTATGGTTTGGCATGTTCACAGAAATCCATAGGTATATTTGCACATTCACATGTACAACCCAAGACAAACACTGCCTTGTTCTCTATGGAAAAGCTGTTCATGAATATACATTCGGTGTGGTGTGATCACCGAGGTGCATTATGAATGCAACTTTGTGAGGCCAGTGATCAGGTAAGTCTTTTACTGAATGCCTCTGATTCATGTATAATGGCAGACACACACATGGACACACTACACAAGACGTGCTCAGGGGCCGCAGCATTCCCTGGATTCCAGACGAGCTCAAGGGAGAGCAAAGATAGGTTAGACCATCCAAAAAGGAGAAATATAAACAGCAGTCCACTCCCTGGTGTGAGCCGAAGGCTAAAGATAGTCAAAGAAAATATTGTTGTCTGATATTTAGTCTCATTTTGAATAACATCTTCTCAATTCTATTTGTACTTAAGCCAATAAAAATGTTGTTAGATATTTATACTGAAGATGAGGAGGATATCGAGAGCTTCTGAATCAGATTAGAGTAAATTTATAGGGAGCAGATCCTTGTAATAACCAATGTAATTATTCTTAACCACATCTGTTAGGAGACGTTTGTAGATCGTTTTGTTGGAGAGAGGAGGGAATCAAGCTCAGAACAACACTCCAAAATAACATTGAAAGGTGAGAGGGTCGTAATGCAGTGAAGCTCAGGAATGTAAGAACAGAGTCACACAAATTTACTCAAGGCTGTTCTTTCTTTGATCTGCAGGACGTAACACCATTCAATAATTCAAGAGCTTTTCTTGTGAGTGTGGAAAAATGTTCACATCTTACATTACATCTCACATTAGTTTTAGTTTTACAAGCAGATTTAACAGCAAAAGAGTAAATATTAGTTTTTTCACAGTTTCTTCTCATTAAATTTGTATTTCCATTTAAACATAAGAGAAGGTACAAAATGAATGGATGAAAAGAAATGCTATTTTGTGCACTATCGACATGTATTTCATTTTAGCTTTCAACCCCTTTGAGATTTCAGAAACATACAAGGAGCATCTCATAAAATCAGACTATACAATATTAATCATTTCAAGCATCTTGGCTCTTGCTTTGACCCTTTTAAGTACAACTCAGGTAATTACTCTATGTGTGTTTTAGTTTCTATAAATACAAGTGGCTCTGTCTGAGGACCCACAAGATTAGCAGATGTCTATTTCAGCGCTAGACTTTCCTTTTGGTTAAAGTTAAACACATAGTTCCACATTCTTATGGCGGTAGGCTAGGTAAAGAATCCACCGGTTTTTTTTTGTCACTACGTAAATGCTGCAATTAGCTCCGCCAAACATAAGAATATGTATACGTCAACTGAATTATCTGAACTGAACAGCGGAGAGCTTAAAAAAATCCAGACAAAAATCAACTACCCAGACAAAATTAATCTTTCAATAAAAACCTTTGTGATTCCTGTTGTGAAATCTACTTCATATCAGTCAGATTTGCACATTGTGCACATTCAGATACATATGCTCCATTCCCCATCAGCAGTTGCTGACACAGTAGTGCACACACAAACATGCATGCACTTGCACTTGTAAGACGAAATCTGTTTGTCAAATTCAGCGCAGTATGTCTTCAAACAGGTCTAACACTAAGATGTAGATGTGTAGGCCACACCTGGACTTGTAAGGTCAAAATCCAGAGTCACTTCATGGAATGAAGTTCAGTCTAAAGTTGGTATTATCTGACCAAAGCAAAACTTCTGCTGCAGCTGCTGCCATCAATGTGGACACCCAGAAAATGAAGGACAGCATCACAAAAACACCTTTCTGTAGGATTCTTTGGCTCTAAATCTAATTTAGTTACTGAGAACGCTCACAACATGCCAAATTCAGAATTTGTTAGAGAAAAGAGATCATCACTAAGATGTGTGTATACATACATATACATACATATATTTGTGTATATATAAAAAAAATTAAATTCAACAAAACATCCAATAGTTTAAAAGTTTTTTACCCTCCATTCACCCCAACAAATTTCAGGTTCTTCTTGGCTCCCTTGTTGCCTTGCTTGTCAGCAACACCATTTTTCTTCATAATAGATTTGAGACCTGGCAAAGAGGACAGAAGACAGAAAGAGAGGAGAGACATGAAAAAGAGAAGGAAAATATGTTTTTGTTGTCTGTGGCTGCATTGAAATAACTCCCACAATGGAAAGTATTATTTGTTCTTCACACAGTGCCAGTGTCTAAATTGCTTGGTTCGGTTTGCATAACACAAATCAAATTTGTCTCGAATTGCAGAACATGTGGAGAACACAGAGATGTGAAAGATAATATAACAATTATGTATTTTAAAGTACCGCAGAGGCATAATAACTCTAGAAGAAACACAAGAACAAAAACATTTTATTCAATGCTTTGTTTCTCCACTTTGCCCAAGAGTCTTCTAAAATGTTTTTTATTTGGTACATGGCGGCTGTAATTGACAACCAGGGTTTTAAAATCGTCTACAAGCTAAATTTAACCACTAAGCTCATAGTTAAAATAAGTCCAGCAAAGAGCGTAGTTCTGTGTGCACCTTTGTCATCTTGAAAAAAACAGTACATTTGAGTCTGGACAATACTGAATAAAGAGATGCCGTAACATAGTTTTCAAATTGCAGGTAAGTCATGTGACAGGAGAAGAAGAGGCTCCAGTTGGAAAGGCAATCAAAAAAAACCAATGTAGGGGAACAATGTCACACAAGGAAATTCAATAAGTGATTACAGAGGGGAGCAGAAATTATGCAACTTTTATCAGTTTTAACAGGTATTCCCCATACCATTATACATAAAGGTCAGCAGTGTACATCTCGCTGGCAATGTACAACCTTGACATTGTCAAGCCTACTTATGTGTGTAACTGCTTAATGATCGAGCCTGTGTGGGCTCTTTTGCTGAGTCTGCCTGGCTACAAGCCCAGTTTGGCTTTCTTAGTTGTGCTTGACAGCACACATAGTGCAAAGGATCTATAATGTTTTATACAAGAACAAAGACATGGCTTTGGGCCAGAATCTATCTGTTAAAGAGATCCAAGCTGAAGGAACCACCAAAATAAGTGCTGTTAGACTGAGAACCTATTAGGAGAGGGCAAAACGCTTTTTAATGCATCTGATTACTAAAATGTAAGGAATTATAAAATCATATGAACATGTGATCAGCTGAACACTAAATGCGGTCCTTATAGATGTCCAAGATGTAGACAGCAGCCTCAGGGAACCAGACACTCTTAAGAAAACATCAACTCTGGAGATACACACTTCATTTAAAAGCACTCCTGTACACAGAACTCCCAGAGCTGAACTGAATATGGACTTTGAATAAAAAATATCTAAGATCAGAGTTACTCTGAGCCTAAGCTGCTGTCCGCAAACCAAACCATGAGTCATAAAGGGAGAGAAGATAGGCCTCATCTGTTTGATGAACGTGTGAATGTCTCTGCTTGAGAATATAGTTGACTGAGTGCTATACCAAGTGTTAAAATGCATGGCTCCACTGTTCTATATGATTGTGTGTTTGCATAACATGCTTGGAATGAGAAATAAGGGTTTGATGTGCTCAGGGGGTCACTGAACCTTATTATTCAACCATCACTTAGTAGCATGTCTTTTTTCCTTGCTAATACATAACTAGCAGTTACCGTGTCATTGAAAGACTCCACATACAGACAAATGTGCAGCCATAGCATCTAGAAATCTAAATGTGATTTATATGATAATTAGTGGAGTGATTTGTGCAAATTACTAGAAGAAAAGGAAGGGAGATGAGATTGAGAGTGACATGAGCTGAGAGTTTTCAAATCTACAAAAACAGCAGTATGCCATGAGGGATGTTTCCTAATTAAATGGCTAATGCCAAGCAACAACACATTTTTGAAAGGTGATTATGAAAATAAATAAAATCAAGGAATATTGTAACAGGTAGGTATGCAGCTCTCCACCAGTCAGTTACATAAATCAACCACATGCCTACCTTGTTCTTGCTGTTTGCTGGCAGAAGCCCCTTTCTGGCCTGGGGAGTAGAAAGCAGAGAGCACACTGAGGGAACTGACCAGTTGACTCTGAATAGAGCTCATTTTGGAGGGACCAGGCTTTCCTGCTTGTTTCCCCGTTGTTGCTGCTGACTCTGATTTCCCTGTGGGCTTGGCTGAAGTTCCCTTTCCTGCCTCTGTCCTTTTGCTCACGGCCTGTTTCTGTGCTATGGGGCTTTCTTGCTGGCTGGCTGGCTGTTGTGCTCCGGAGCTGCTCCCCAGCTGTGCCCACTGCTCTCCAAGAAGCCCTGTTATCCGTGTCACGACGTGGCCCAAAGCCGCAGGCGATGTGGGCGATTCACTGGAACCTCTGCGAGCAGACTGTGCGTCGGCAGAATCCCGACGTGAAGCTTCACCTGAACCACGTCGCTGAGCTGCTTCAGTGGAACCTCTTCGTAGTGATTGTGGTTCACTGGCATCTTTGAGAAGTGGTTGAGTGTCACTAGAGCTTCTACGGGAACCCTGAGGAGTCGGGCGGGTCTTGGCTTCCCCAGATCCACGTCTAGCTGTATTGGTTACACTGGTCCCCTTCTGTGGTGCTTTCATTTCCTTTGAGTCTTTACGGGATGTAGAAACTTGAGACTGAGATTGGGCTTGAATAGATTTGGGTCTGATCTGGACTTCAACGGAGCCTGGGGAGGGACTTTTAGCGCCAGCCTGAGGTTGTGCTTGAGATTGCCTCACAGTGGACTCCTTAGAAGGCTTCTTTGATTGACTATGGTTTTCGACCTGAGACACAGAAGGGGCTTGATGTGTTTCCTGGGATTCAGAGCGCTGTGCTGAGGACTGCACGTCAGATTGTACGACAGACTGTACAGGAGCCTGGGGTTGGGTTTTTGTCTGGATCTGCTGAGCTTGAGTTTCACTGGACTCCCCAGGAGGGAGAACAGGAAGTGCCTGCAGTTGAGAAGATGATGGCTGTAGCTGTTCTATGGAGGTCTTTCGCCCACGCTGTGGTCTTACAGGTGCTGCTGTCTTCACATCTGAACTCTCCGCTGTTCCAACAACACTGTCCATAACCACGCTTTCCTTGATAACAGCACACCTTTCCTCTTCTTCTTTTGCTTCATTCTTCTCAGTCTTGTCCAAGGTGTCATGTTTGGATTCAGTGTTTTCTGTTTCTACATTCTTAAGGATCTCATTTTTTTGTGTTTTTGAGTCAACTTGTGTAGGAATCACAGCAGTCTCACTGTCTACTGTTGCAGACACTGGACTTGGACAATCGACGGTCTTGCTCCTAACATCTGAAACTACAATCTGCACAAATGCGTCACCTTCTGTAGTTCTACTCTCTGTAGAAACATCCAGAACTAGACTTTCGGTTTCTTTTTTAATTTGTTCATTTGTTGTTTTATCTTCAAGTCCTTCACTGACCACAGGACTTTGTTGTCGTCTGTCTTCATTTTCATTGACTTGAGCTTCTGCCTCTGTATGCCTGTCGGGGTTGTTGTCCTGTCTTCTTTCTGTCTCAGTTTCAGTTTGCTGATCAGTTCTTGGCGCTGCTTCTGTCTCTGTCACCCTGTCCACTGTGTCCACTCGCTCTGTCTCTGTCCCTTGGTCTACGCTGCTGGCCCTTGGCCTCTGGGGATGGTCTATCACTGTCTCTCCTTCTGTTTCTGTGACTTGGTTTACTCTTTCAGCCACAGATGTCTCAGTCATCTGATCCTGAGTGGAGATGCTCTCTGTAATTGTGCCCTGCTCCATGCTGTTGGCTCGGGGTCGAGGTGGAATCAACGGTTCCTCTCCTTCTATCTCTGTCACTTGGTCATGGGTGCCGGCTTTACCAGTCACTGTCCCTTGATCTACACTTCCAGCGCTTGGTTTGGGAATGCACACTTCCACACAGATTCTATCCATGTCTGTCCCTTGATCTACTGTACCTGGGGACTCTGTAGCTGTCTCCTGGTTAGCGAAATCTGTTCTCTCTGTAACTGTTCCTGCATCCATGCTTTCTCTTCTTGGGCGCTCTAGTGATGGTGTGGAACAAATTTCCACTCTCATTCCTTCACTCAGTTTTAATATTCTCTCCTCTTTTGCTTTGTTCTCCTTTATTTGCTCCTTCAAAAGAGAATTTGTTCTCTCCAGCTCTTGGCTAGCCTGAGTAAGTTTTGCCTCCAGTACATTGAGCTTCTCCTGCAAATTGCACATTCCATCTGGGCCCTCAAAGTTTCCTTCTTTTGTTCTATTCAAATCTAGACTTCGGCCATTCTCGTTTTCTTTGCTAGTTACGTCTAATAGTGTTAATTCATGCCCTTCAATGTCCTGCAACAGTTTTCTCACCGCATCCTCCTGTGGACTCTCTAAAGTCTCTTTTCGCTTGTCTAATTCTTGTGACGGCAGTGTTGGTCTCTGTGCCGTGGCAGTCACTCTCTGCTTTTGTGAGACTTTAGTCACCTGTGTCTCACTTACTCTCTTTTTCTCTTTTACTGGCTCTTCGGCCACACGTTCAGCCGTTTCTAAACCTCCAAGGGGTGGAGGTGTCACAGATAAGTTGAGCCCTTCTGAGTGTTTGTGGACTTGACTATGACAATTGGCCCCAGAACTTGTTGCTACTTCATGTGATGATGTGGAAATCTGAGCTTGGGCTTGGGCTTGGGCTTGAGCTTGAAGCTGAAGGAGTAACTTTTCCCTCTCTTCCCTTAAAGAGCAGATCTGAGCCTTTAATTCTGGGATGGTTTTGACTTGCTCCTCTAGTTCTCTGACCCTCCTTAGAGCCACTGTAATCTGCTGGTGAAGACCTGCTCTATCCTGCGGGAGACATCGTCGTTCAGTTATCTCAGGTGAAGCACGGAACATGTTTTCTGTTGAGCCACTCTCTGGGGTTCCTATGGCGCAGTCAGGGCTGCTGGAATCTGAGCCTTTGCGCTGCTGTAGGGTGATGGGCATGCTTGATGCTCTGAGAAGATTTGGACGACTTTGAATTGTAGCAGTTTTGTCTTCAACACCTCGAGCCACGGCACCTGCATCATCTCTGGGTTTTGCTGAAACATATCCAGTTCCTTGATTGGTTGGACTTCTGGCACTCTGGTTGGATATTCCCCCTTCACTTGCTCTGAAGTCAAAAATCTGTTGGACTTCTGTCACCCGTGATTTAGGCTTGGGTCCCAAGGTAGATGTCCCAGACCATGCACTGTCCTTTTCTTTGGGAGCAGGCCTGACTCCATGTCCAGGAAGGCTGAAATTTCTTGGCAGAGTGCTGAATTTAGGTGGTCCCTTCACCCTACGCTGGATGTGGACCCTTTTGATCGTGTTGCCTTTTTCAATGTCATCAACATACTTGAGGAAATCAAGATCCAGGTGGAAGCCATACGGTGTCTCCACCGAGTAGGGCAGCTGCTTCTTCTGAACACCACCTTCACTGGCCTTGGTCTGAAAGCCATTGGCTGCAAGGAATGAACACAAATCAACTTTTGTATACATCAGGAATTGTCAGGAAGTGTAAGGTACATAGCTTACAAAATGAACATAAACCAAATTACTGATTATCATTAATAGCATAACTATTCATTTCACTTGCTTGTACATAGAGGCTGTACTTCATATACAGGGCTTCACATATCGCTTAGTGGGAAACCATTTTCATGCAGTGATTGTGCCAAAACAAACTGATTAGCATGTGAAAAGCTATTTGTGATGTGCCAGCTGATAAATACAGTATAAGATAGTGGGCGGCTATCACCTGATGAAGATAAGCCCACTGCTGATTTTTGGCTACTTACAAGGATAATCAAGCTAAATGTTTCACACCCTACGCCAGGCGTTAAGGTGTAACATAAATAATATTCTGCAACACAAATAATTGGGTTTATAGTTGGAAAATAAGATGCTATCTGTGGCACATTTTGGAAACAAGGGTACTCACTACTTTTCTTGTCCATCATGGGAGGCAGAGTTCACAGTCATCTACTTGTATTTGCTACAGTTGGCACTTGCAGGCTGGATAAAAAAGAAATGACAGACACTAAATTGAACAAGAAGGTAATATATTTGCTGTTTATTGTTGATAAAGAAAGATGATGGAAAAGTAAATGTGGTATTGCGTGAAAACAGCATAAAGCTATTGTTCATTGTGTTCAGACTGACACATAGCAGGCAGTCACACCTTTCACATCTTCATATGTTAAGTAAAACTCACAGTCAACATGAAAAGTACATGCATAGATTGTGAAACTAAGATGAATTCCAAATAAATCCAAACAAAGTTTAACTAAAAAAAAGATAATACCGAATAAGAGAGAAAAATAGTATAGTGAGCCAATGAGAGTAACAATGCAAAATGCTGAATTTTAAAGCTAAAATTAGAGAAAAACTCTGTGATAACAGTCAAGATGGTAATTCTTTGGCAATTCCATTTCCACAATAACATGTATTTTCAAATAAACTAACATTTGCAGATTATCACATTTGCAGATGAACGAACAATCAAACATTGTGAGATTTTAACTAACTTAACTTCAGACAAAATTACATGAAGCCATTTATAATATTAGATATTCATGGCAGAGTAAGTCAAATAGAGTCCTGTAATTTCCATTAGTGAAATTTAATTTAATAGGACCATTCTTGAGCAGGCTCACAGAAACCATGCCAGGTCCCGTTTTGTATAATTTGTTCCAGATGGTAAAGTCAAGAAACCTAAGTTGTAAATGCAGAGTAGAGGTAGGTGGAGTGAAAAGCAATTTAGAATGTGAAGTCAGAACTTCAACAGCTTACTGTAAAGCTTTCTAATAAAATATCCAATCCTAAAAATAAAATCCAGGCAATTTGCCTATATTTGAGTGAGCTGCACAGCTAAAATCAATTTTAAATGAAGGCATAAGTCCTTAAGCCAAATATCAGTTCTAAGGGTATTTAGCAAATAGACACACATCATTCACGCACTTCCATGCAAATTTGCGTCCAAAGAAAAATTATTCCAGCTGTGTAGGATAAATAGCGCATGTAGGCCTGAAGCTGTGTTTAAATGAGTGCATCAATTCACACTGAAACATATTTCAGAAGTATAAACTAAACATTTTATCTCTAAAACATTTTATCTCTAAAATGTTTAGTACAGTGTCCAGTACAGTGTACGTGGAGCTGAAACATTCCTTTTTTATACCCCTGGGGGACATTCAAACTGATGCAACACAAAAAGCATTTCCACTTTGACAGATTTCTCTCTGTCATCTGTCATTTTCTTCTTTATTGTGGTGCCAATTTTACACTAAAAAAGATAAATCTTGTAGGATTAAGGAGACTGTCTTATTTTGTGCTTTTCCCATTTTTAGCGTTTGCTAGATCTCTTGATAAAGAGTAGAAAAATACACCCCCGCACCCGATCTATCTGCAGGAAGTAACAAATGGTCTACTTAGAGAAAATAAGTAGTACAAAAAGAAGACAAATCACTAAAATTGACATTTTCTCTTGAGTCGTGAAAAATAAGTTTTTTTAAAAACAATTAGTCAGAATTTCTCTGATTTTGTACGAAGATGTGTTTCATAAATGTGTACTGGCATGAAGAAACCTGTAAGTTGTGAGGTGATAGGTGGGGACATGCTGCAAGGCAAGCATTACACGAGTTGGCTAAGTAATCAATCAAAATGGCAGACGGTCCACCCTTAACAGAAAAAGTGACAAGCTCTATTTGGTTCTCGTCCCATTTTCACAGATTGAGCCCTAAAACTAAAGAAAAAAAACAGGTGACCTAGAGCAAAACTGTTGTCTCTGTTACAGATGAGCAGATAAACACACACAAGGAGAGACTCACAAATTTACTGACTGACAGGATCTGACACCTACCATGGCAACCATTCTACACTCCACTATCTCTGTGTGTCCCAGGTGGGAGAGGAGCGCAGGCTTTTCTTGACTGCTCCTACTGCTTAATACAAACTACAATCAGCTCAATGTCCTTGAGGTTTAATTAGCTGATATGGAGCAAAAGAATATGTAAGTAATTACTGAGTAAAGTACAGACAGGTCCTGCTGGCAATAATACACAGTGGGCAGGCAGCAAAAAGCTTCTTTAATTAGATCATTTTTCAGAAGAGACGCAAAGAGTAGAGCTGAGGAAAGACGGAGGCTGGACAAGAAAAGAGAAGCTTGACATCTATTTAAAAAGAATTATACATTTTGTTAATTATGTTTTATGTTTTGTAAGAGAGTTATATGCATGCCTTATTTCCGATTCATGTTTGTAGACCTTTACTTTGTTCCCTTAATAAAATCTGGATAAAACACACTGCTTTATACTGCCGAATTATTGTCTCAAAAAGTTTGGGTTTTTTTGCTTAAGAGGGTGCTTTGAACAAAACTTTCTGCAGTTATACACTGTTGCTCAAGCACGGGATGAAATCTGTAAATGATAAGAAAAGGAGGTTAAATTTCTCCTTTCTCCTTTTAAATCACTGGGCACTACTGTAAGCATTTGAAAGGAGAAAGCACAAACCCACAGAGCAACACTCAGTTTTTTCTGAACACATTAAGTTATACTGTTGTAGACCCTCAAAACATTTAGCTTTTAAATGCTGTCAGAGGTTGCAACATGATAACTTTTTTCCCAAATCCTTATGAGCTTCTCCCTTTAACCTAACAGCAGTTTCCAAAGAGCTCAATGAAAATACTCTTCAACTGTAATTGCAGAATGTAAGACCGCCTTTCTCCTCACCATTTTTGGCCGTTTAACTAGGAAATCAAAGCAGCCGTGACCTTAAAGAGACAGGAGCTAATACAAAACCTGCCAGGCAGACGACCAGGGTGCTGTATCACTGTACATTTAGAGGAAAATTGTGTATTAATTTAGGTCCCCTGAATGAATTGACCTAAGAAACTGTAATAAACATACAGCAATATGAGCTTTTTAAGGCATCCTTTCTTAAATTAAAGTCACCCCAGATGTTTATATGGCTTGTGGGAGTCTAATAGCAACAGGGAATTAAGCTGCATTTGGTGAGCCACAGTACAGACTGCGGATGATTACTATGACATGATGTTATACTATTATTACTTTTAGAATTTCCAGGTTAGGTTAATTAAATTTTGGAAGCCTGTGTTGACACCACTGCACAATCCGCTCTGGATTACAGTTATAATGACGATGAGCTGAAAGCTCATGAAGGGCATGCTAATCCAAATTGAAAGTATTTGCTGCAGGCTATGCCAAGCTTAAAGGAAACCAAGGGTAAGTATGTCCAAAACCTCGCTCTGTGTGTGTCACTTCTTTCATGTTTGCATGTGCTTGAAAACTGATTATTATGATGACTCATGAAATATGAGTCTGACGCAGTCCCTGTGTTTGAACAGGAAACTACAATCATGTCTCACACATAACCTCTTAAAGGACACGCTGCAATCTGTCAGCGCCAATCTAATAAGTGTGACAGCTGGGCGAGAGGCAACGACGTTGGTAATGTGAGGGCCGGAAGACAGGAGCAATAACAGTACAGTAAATAAGCACATACTGACAGCTAGGGGCTTTCATAACAAAACCAGCATGGAAAGTCAATCATGCAAAATAGTTGTGTTTGGCAGTCATTTTGAAGGAAGAAACATTCAGAAAAAAGAAAAGCAGAGTCAAATATGTGAGTATAGCAAATAAGGTTACACCGATAGCCATCTTTGATCAATTCTAGAGCACCATGAAGGATTCACACATACAATTGTGATACATCTACACACATGCAAATTACTGCTGACTTCACAAAGTAACAGGCATTAATTGAATATCCTGGGTCATTACATTTCAGTGCTTTTTTACTGGAGATTGAATTAGGCATATACTGACACAAAGCAGTACTGGACAGAAAACAGGCCAGCAGGAAGTAAGATTGAAGAGAGCAAGCAGGGGCCAAGAGGTGGGCGATGGGAGAAGAAATTAGTGCAAAAGAGGTTGTGGTGGGAGTGGAAGCTGAACTCATATCTCATTTTTGCAGAGCAGCTTCCCTGTTGTATTTTCTTCACTTCTATCTCCTTAAAATGTCTTTATCATTGTCTTATAATTTGTTCTTATTATACATCATTTTTTAAAATGCTTAGTATGCATTAGTTTATCATGTGAATTATGCATAGAGACCGCAGCTGTGGCTCTAAACAAGAGCAGAAGCTGTGAAAAAGGCAGTGAGGAACTGCTAGCAGCTGCAGATTAGAGAAACCGACCGGCTCAGTAACAATAAAGCAGGTGTCAAGTCATTATCATCTATCAATGTTTACCCTGCACTACCCTGAGAAAGTAAGCAGGGCTGTGTGGCGAAAATTTCAGCTCTCTGCAAACAAGCTCAAGCCTTGTGCAGATAAAAAGTGAAACATAGGTACACATGTGTTTGCAAGATACAAAACACTTCTGCTGAATGTCTAATGTGGCACCAAATTGCTGGTGTAACTTTAATACGTCAAATAGAGCCTTGCTACCTTTAACATTTACTATAGGGAAATAAAAGATTTTATGTTGCTCTCTTTAGACATACCATATGGAATTATCTTACTTTCTTAATCTTATTATTAGAGAAATTAAGTGAGGTTGGTGGCATTTAAATGATTTGAAATGTCGCAGTTATCTCATTTTAATGATAATTTTCCTACCTTTAAAATATGTGAATGCCAAAAAAAAAAATCTAACTACAAAGACTTCACTGATAAATTACAGAGAAATTATCCATGATACAGGTTTAAGAGAGACACATATGCTGACTCAATTAGTTAAATTCAAGGGTGTGCAGGTGTGGGTAACAGTTTTACATAGTGACATAACAGAATGTAGAAGCACCTGAGCAGTGACCTGAGAAAATTGAGAAAATTACTGACACGAAAACTGGGAATAGCAGAGTTTATGATTGTTGAACTAGATCAAATGACAGACACTGTTAGCATCCACATGATAAAGATTATTTGACATTGCATATGGTGTGTTTGTGTGTGTGTGTGCGTGTGTGTGTGTGAGAGAGAGAAAGAGGATGTGTATGTGTGTAATCAGGAACTGATCAATCTCCCTGCTCTACAACAGATATATGAGAACAGTCTGGTCCACCCACACTCGTCTGAAATAATCTTTGTCTATGTATAGTATATTGGCAATACTGTCCATGCCGGATACATTTCCTGAGCCAACTTTTTTTTTCTTGTAGTCATTTGCATCCAATCTAGTTTATCTTGCAGACATCCTCTTTTGAGTTTTATCCCTTAACACTCAAGTAAAGTTCAGTCTGACAGAATTTATATTTATAGCTGTGGATACATTTTCCCTTTGTGCCAAACAACATCTGGTTCTTAACTCCACAGAGAAAATGAGAGGGAACCTTTGTTCATGGGGTTCATTAAATAACATCACAATGATCCCACAGGGCCACGGTTAGTGGGCCACTATTTTACTGTGGGTCAAATCACACTGTATTTTGTCCTGTTATGAGAGGCAAATTCAGGTCAAGGATTCTGCCTGATAGTTTACTTACTAAGACTTATTATTTGAACAGTAATAAACACATCTGAACAATACTGAATTGAATGGACAACACAATTGCAACCTGGTTCCTTTCAGTTCTTTAGACTGCCAGTCATTTATGGAACTAAAAAGAGACAAAAAATGTAATTTATTTTAACAAAAAATGTGTTTAAACATATTTCCTCTCTGAGTAATGAGTGGAAGTTAATTTCAGTCTAAGCTCTCAGAAAAATAGGTCCTTACACACTAAAAAATAAACCAAAAGACAAAGACATTTGTAGTGCTGCAGTTTTCAGTTAATTAGCTTCTATATACAGAAATGAGACTGGATGTAAATGTACCCAATATCATAAATCATTTAATTTTTTTCATTTCCTAAGTTAAGTAAAGTGAGACTCATATTTAATGGCTGATTGGTTCTATAGAAAAGAAAAGAAAAGAAAAGAAAAGGTTCTTGGGCTAACATCAAAAGTTTATAAAATGGAGGTTAAAAGATGCACATCTGGCGGTTATTGCAATACCACAAACTTGGCCTGACTGCTACCAGCTCAGTGAAGCTCCTGTACTGAAAGAGATAATTGTTTTGCCACGCCTTTCATGAAACAGTTACTTATCTTTCTTTTCTGTTGCTTAAACTTTTCATGGCTTCATACACAGACTGAACTTGTATTCCTTCCTCAGACCCCATAGAGCCCTGTAGTGGTATTCTAATATGAGGAGCAGCTGCCTGCTTTCATTAGTGAAAAAGGAAGTGACAAACCATCTATTATTCATTGGCCCACAAAAACCCTTCAAGCTGGGACTTTGCTATTATAATGGATACTTCCGCTCATGGATGTAAATGAGCGCAATGGAGCTAATTAGCACTTGGCCATCTGACAATACTAACAGTTGCGGATGTTAAAGGATGCAAAAAGAGGCACGACAAGCCATAACAGAGGGAGGAAGAAAAGATAGGAATTGGGATTCTAAGTCTAACAAACAGTGAGGTTTGAGTGGATAAAAAAGTATATTAATGAAATCTGTCAGAGGAGGACTAAAGTGTTGGTTGCCAAGACATTTTCTCCTGCTCTCCTGAACTGTCATTTAAAGCAACCCACAGTGAAGCTTAAAAGTTGGATAAGCTCCAAAACACAATTTTTACAAATGTTACAACAGGATATAGGGGTTCTAATTTATATTTGGGGGAGTCTTCTTGCGCAAAAATAAATGAAATAACATTTTCACTGCCTGAAGAGTTAGCCAGAAATCAGCAAAGTATTAAGCCAGCAATGGCGGGCCAATGCAGCAGCACATTCTGCAGAGTAGGCAGAATAGTTTGGAGTATGTTAACCCATAAATATTCACTTTTTTTATCTTCCAGTTGCACACCCAGATAAATACACAAATAATAGCACAAAAACAACTTGAGGCCTGTCAGATATAAAGAACGTGCACATATATCACTGATATCACTGAGTGTTTAAGCTATTCCTATTTCGCCAAACTGTGTGTTTGAATACAGTAATGTACATTGGCAACCAAAAACATGTGGATACCTTTAACCATCTGCTTTCACAAAATACTACCCATGCATGCACCACACATGTTTATCCTGTCACACAAGTGCACATTCGCTCTTCATCTGATCCCAGGCAAAAACACGTACATTCCTACAGAAATGGTGTGGGGAAAAAAGCATGGAACAGAGCTGAGGGTCAAATTGCAAAAAGGTAGATTCAAAGTAAAGAAAACATGGTACAATATATTGGCAGGTGTCAATATAGAAATGAGATGGGCAAATTCTTCACAACACAGGGAAAGAGAAAAGAAAAGAAAAGAAATGAAAGAGCATGCGTGAACATGAAGAAATGGGAGGATGTGTTAGAAAATCTGAGTAAATTCATTGAGCATTATATGCTTCTCACCTGCCATGGAGCTCCTCTCACCTCCAGTTCTTCCTGTTTCTGTTTCTCTGAAAGCTACTGGCCTTGTCTGCTGAAAGAAAACAAAGAAAAAAAAGAGAGGAGGGTGGAGGGGGGGGGGGTGTTGACGTGTTGGCAGATGATGCCGAAGAGAAGGGAAGAGATGAAAAGAGAGGGACAGTTGGTAAAACTATTCGCTTTCAAAGTTGAAAAAAAGTGCAAATACACAACAGAGAAACACTGAACCCATGCTCCTCCTTCTGTTATTTGTGCAGCAACTGTAAAGTTCAGGATTTCCTTGAGTGCAATTGGTGACACAGGAAAAGTAGAGTAGTTTTTTGTGTATTCATGTGAAGCCAAAGCCAACTGTTTGTACTTTTTTTCTGTGTTGAGTTCACTCATGCATTCATGGTTGTGTAGTAAGTGCATGTGTGGTGATGTCTACAAATTTGCCTCGAGACATAAGGCTTGCCCTGCGGTGAACTCCCACCATGCACCAGTCTAATTATTACTCGAGTAAAATCTTCCCCCACTGTGATGCCACAGGGCCACACAAGTCCAACTTTGACCAGGAAAAAAAACTTTTCAGAAGCTTCAAATTATTAGTTATATAAAGTACATGTCCATTATTTCTCTCAAATTTAACCGTCAAGCCCATAGTTACCTCTGAGAGGCTCACTAACATTAAACCTGTCTAATGAGTAAGCCACTGTGAGTCCAGTAGGCTCTGTAGTGTAAAATTATGTAAATAACAAACTGCTTTGAAATAGGCTAACTGCCTGGGCTAATAGGTCCTGTCTGTTATATCTACTCCACTGATCTCTCAGGCCACAAATTCTTTGTCCTCCTTCAGCGAAGGCGATCCAAATCCACTCAAAAACATTATAGTATCACACACATCAAACACACTAAACACACACATCTCACCACGTGTGTGCGAATGAGTTCAGAAGCACCTGACTTGATCACGGGGATACATGGGAAAGTTGTCACATTTAATTTGAACCAAGACTTGTTTGGAGAGGTTAACATTTACATTTGTTGGCTAAACTAATGTGAGCCTTAACTGTGTCATGATCAACAAAGTTTCTGTTTTGACTAATCATTTCAGAGAAGATCACAGATCTAATTAGAATGTATGAGCGTCACCCTATATTTCTGAAGGAATTTAAGTAGACTGTTTTTCCTGAAGGATGCTGACTCACACACAAACCCTTAGTCATACATAAAATAAGTCACATACGTTTCCAGATTCTGGGACAAAATCCTCTGCTCCGCATATTTGTCCAACACTGCAAAGAATCTGTTATCATCCTTTCATCTAAAGCAGACGGCTGAAACAGGGTGCCATGCTGCCTACGGGGGTTAAGCTTTTCTCTCACTGATCACATGAGCCTTCTGTTGTCAGGTGCGATTAGATCGTATCTCAGATGCTCAGGACCTATTATTATTCTTTGGCCTTTTCTTTGTATGTTAAGGTTAGACACTGTCCACCTCATGCAAATATCATAGTGGTCAAATTCAAGCAAGATATGGTGTGTATTAATTTTTTTTTTCCTTTACATGCTTATGATATAAAAACTAGTTTGAAAGAAACACGAGGTGATTCCTCAATTCATTTTTGAAAAATGCAAAAAGAATTTCTAAGCAAAAATGAACATAATTTCCATTATTCAAATATATGTCGTGTACTTGATTTTTGTTTTTCAGGTTCACGTCAAAGTCATCGTGGTATAGAACGCATTCATGTGTTTGCTATACACTTATTATTAGGGTGTCGCAGGGGAGATGGAGTCTATCCCAGCTGTCATTGGGTGGCAGCTTACACCCTGGACAGGTTGCTAGTCCAACACCACATGGCAAATAATGGTGGTGCTAACTACCACACCACCATGTCAACAGTAGATAAAAACCCCACAATAAAAAAAAAGAAACATGACAGCATCCTCTTATTATCTGACATAATTTGCCTTGATGATCAGAAAATTACCGGTGGCTTTTCGACAAGCTCCTGTTTGAAGCGTGGGGCAACCTGAGCCTGATCAAAGATCCCCAAGAATCATCCAAACACCACCTAACCATAGAAACACATCAGCCAACACAATCAAATTCCAGCTCGTGATCACTCACTGGACTCTGGGATCCAACTAACCTTATATGGACTATGGAATATTTTATGTTCCATAGTCCTGTTGTTTGACAAATCCACCCTTACCCACCATAAGTGGATATCTAACAACAATCATTACCCTAAGCACATTTAAATCAGAACCATAAATACTTTTAAGCTTTTGAAAGCTATTGTAGCAGGAGTTCCTCATCAACTACAGTCAGTTTGAAACTTCCGATTGGGGTATAAACACTTACTCTGATTTATGGGGTAAGTATCTTTAAGAATAGCGGTGGAACTGCGGAGGTCTGCTGCATGGAACAACTTAGTAGCTTAATATGGAAGCCTGGGTGCGGACAAACCCATGCCTTCAGATAAATTTGGCATGTGGCAACCTGGCATGTGTTGAGCATAATGTAGATGAAAATAAAGGACTTCACACCAACATTTTCGGTGCTCCGAGTCAGTCAGAACCACACAGTTGAAATCACAACAGGCCATGTTCTGCAAAATCTGACTCCCCATGACTCTCAAAATGTGTGAAAAAATGGAACTGCTGAACATCAAAGCCTAGCAGCACAAAGTGAGGTCCAACAGCTTGAAATCATAAACATAATGTTTTAACAACTGTGGGACACATTCTGTTCACAAAAGTATTTGTAAAATGCTGTTTTAATTATAACTGATGGTTTGTGGAAACCTCCTGGCATGGCAGTCTTCACTCAACATCACCTGATATGATTTTCTTTTTATAACCCAAGTTCAGCCTAAATAGCAGCCTTATTGTCAGATATCTAACTGTTGAGGGCATTTTTTAGAAAATGATATAAGCTCTGAGATCGACATTGTTCATTATGCTGTTTAATTGCACTTTAGTAGGTTAAATGCTTCACAACATAATTTTACATTTTGTTCAACAGTTTTGTAACTGAGAAATATTGAGATTTATAAAATCCTAAAACAGACAATTACCCATGTGTGGTCTGCAGCTTGTGTGTGCATGGGTCTGTGTGCAAAATACCATAAACCCGCAGAGCTTACAGTTCTGAAACACCCAATGTATAAGGATGATATATTCCAGCATGTTAAATATAATGAATGTCAGAAAGACAGAGAGAGTACAAGGAAAGAAAAGTTGTATACTTCTGAGAGCATTCCACGTCGTAATGTAATCAATAGAAGTAAGGCAATACTCTGTTTGCAGACCCAGCAATGTTTAGTCCTGGCATTCCTTTATAGCATTACAAGTGACTAGATTTACAATTCTGAGTATAGACATGATTTTAATGGATCCTTCTTTCTGGTTTTAATTCATAATAAACATAACTTTTTCCATGTCTGAAAAGTAGGACTTGTGTATTACTGAAACCCTACATCACTGCTTGAGTTCATACATTGAGTGCATACAACTCTCAGGTTTGATTCCATATATAGTCTCAACTGGCCCCACAGCACTGGCTAACCATATCAACCGAATCCCTATCACCAAAAGGAATGTGAGCAACATTTTTCTTTTGTTACAGCTCTGTTTTTCATTCTTTCTACAAAAGCACACATTTTGAAATAAGAATAACGCTTAACATACACACCAGGACATAGTGTTGCTGGCAGCCACAAATGGTGAATTATCAGCTCTAATTACCATCTTCAGACTTGGCAACTATCAAGCTCTGTAAATGGGTGAAGTTGTTTTTTTTTGTATCATAAAGAGGATGTGGAAAGACTGAATGTAACAAACCTTTACTTAAAAATCTGATGGAAATGAAAGTGTATACAACTCTCTATACATTCTGAATTTCTCAACCAATAACAGCACATTCAGAAATATAATAAACTAAGATTTGAGCTGTGACCAAGACTCCCATGGTAAAAGCATTTGTGTCTATGTTTACGTGTCGCTGGTCTATGACTTACAGACATCCTGAGGAAAGCCGGTCACTGATAAGACTTTCAGATAGGAAAAAGACTGTTTATGCGCTGAAACAGGCGCCTTTAAATCTGACAACATTACACACCTCACTTCTCAAGTGGAAACATTCAGAACTATCTTAAGCCATGCATGCACCTGAAAAAAAGATTAAATAACCAGAAGTTGGATAGACACCGTATATCCAATCGAAATAAAAAATCTAAAGGTTTTTATCGTTCATTGGCCACTCAAAGAGATTATTTCTCCTATAGCCCATTTTCTGAAGTAATTCATACTTCTTACATTTTCGTAATTTTTATCAGGACCCTGTAAGATTTAGTCCCTGCTGTTGTGGTTACACAGAGATCCGAACATCTGAGCTACAATCAAACATGCATAAAAACAGCTTCAGCGCTTTTCACAGAGTGAAAAATGTAGAGTAAAGTGAGCAAGAAGAGACAGCAGAATAGTTTTGGCCATCAGTGCATCCAAAGCCTGGTCAGAGTGTGATCAACTTTCATTGATTTTGGATGAGGGGACTCTTCAACAGAGCCATTCTTCAGATTATTTTATTTAGTCTTTTCCCGCTGTAAACTAAATCTTTTTTCTACTTATGATCCACTGTCAAATTTTACTGACTTTCCAAGATAACCATCTGTTTTACCAAGACAAAAGAGATAAAGAGATCAAAGAATATCATAAACTCTTTACACAGACAGAAAGTAACATCCATCCATCTATTATTGTTACCGCTTTTTCCTAATGGGGTCACGGGGAGAACTGGAGCCTATCCCAGTGGTCAATGGGCGAGAGGCAGGGCCACACACAAGACATACAAGGACAGACAACCACGCAATGGTTTGAGTATGAAATGGAGTGAAAACAACAACTGTGGAACGGCAGATATGTCTGTTTTTATTCACTCACACACATTCACCAGTGGGGCTGCCATGCAAGCCTCTGGCCAGCCTGTTATCAGCAACCGTTTGTGCCTAATATCCTGCTGAAGAACAGCTTAGAGCACAGAGCAGAGGATCAAACTGCCAATTCGCGATC